GCTGGGGGATGGGGTGGTGGTTCGGGGGCCTGTGGGGCAGCCATGTCTGGAGGGTGGCTGTCTTGCAGGACACCGCGGTGCGTGCCATGGGGGACTGGAGCCTGCTGGGGCGGCTGCTGGAGAGCGCCCAGGAGCACTCCACAGTGGTGGGGAAGGTCTGGCTCACCGTCCTCTTCGTCTTCCGCATCTTGGTGCTGGGGGCGGCTGCTGAGCGGGTCTGGGGTGATGAGCTGTCTGGCTTCTCCTGCGACACACAGCAGCCCGGCTGCCAGAATGCCTGCTACGACAGCACCTTCCCCATCTCCCACCTCCGCTTCTGGGTCCTGCAGATCATCTTTGTCTCTACTCCCAGCCTCGTGTACCTGGGCCACATCCTGCACCTGGTGCATCTGGAGGAGAAGGCACAGCAGCAAGCAGTGGCACGGGCCGGCAGCGGGGCCAGGAGGCAGCGCCCCAGGCAGTCCCGGCTCCCTGTGGGGGACACGCGGGGACAAGTCTGTATGCGGGGGGCCATCCTGAGGACGTATGTCTGCAACGTCGTCTTCAAGGCTCTCTTGGAAGTGGGCTTCATTGCGGGCCAGTATGCCTTGTACGGGTTCCAGCTGAAGCCCCTCTACACCTGCAGCCGCTGGCCCTGCCCTAACACCGTCAACTGCTACATCTCCCGGCCCACCGAGAAGACCATATTCATCCTCTTCATGCTGGGGGTGGCCTGCGTGTCCCTGCTGCTCAACCTGGTGGAGATATACCACCTGGCTCTCACCAAGTGCCGGCAGGGGCCAGGCCCCAAGTCCCGCATCCTGCCTAGTTCTGGTGGCCCTGTGGGGCTCCGCAGTATCCGTGTCACTCTGCCCGGTGGTGGCAGCCCCATGGCTGCTGGCAGACCCCGCCACGGCCTGGGCCACCTGAAGAAGGCGGGTGCATGGCTGGGAGTAGCCGGTGGGTCCCACAGGAAGGTGCGAGTGGCAGACCTGGCAGTATGAACCAGGCCACCTGCTGGGATGTTAAGGGATGGGTGATGCATGGGTGGCCACAGTTGCGGTTCCTTCTCCGGGCCCTGCCAGGCTTGTGGCATGGACCCCACAGCCAGCGCGAAAGGTGGGGAAGGTCCTGGGGACATGGCTCAGCTGCTCCCTGTGCTCCTGGGAGCTGCCAGGCTGAGAGTAGGGCCAAGCTGGGACAGTGCCCTGTCAACCCTCGGGAAGCAAATAAACACCCACTGCGCCTCACTCGACTCCTGCTCTGCCCACGGGCACCGCGGCATCGCTCTCTGATGGGTCCGATCCATGGACATGTGCCGTGGCCTGGGAAGGGCCACTGCTGGGTTGGGTTGGGTTGGGCTGTAGCCTTACGTGCAAGGGACGGGCAGGGAGAAGCAGGGCAGGGACAGGGAGGGCATGCCAAGTTGGCACCAGCGGGCATGGGGTCAGGGGCCATCCCAGCACGCCAGAGCTGGCAGCGCACAAGGTACCAGGCAAGGTAGGAAGCTCAGGCAGCACAGACAGGCAGGGATGGACAGAATCAAGGTGCACAGCAGCAGTGGGACACTGACCCTGCTCTCCTGCAATGCCACCTTGCCCGGGGTGGGGTGGGGGAAGCAGGGACTGCCAAAAGTTTTCCGCATCTTTATTTGAAATGAATGGTTTCCAGAGACACAAGGTTAGTCCTACCGCCCTGGCATCACTACAACAAGACTGGTGAGCGGCTCACTCTCCACATGGACACAGAGAACAGATGGCCCCGGGCCAGGGCCCAGAACAATATATACAGGCTCAACAGGAGATCCATGTACAGCTCAAGAAAACCGACCAGAACACAAGGAGGGGCAGGAGGCAGCAGGGAGTGGCACAGTCGGAGCCAGGCTCACCCTGGGCAGGGCGCTGGCAACCCACTGCTTTGGGAGGGAGGGGGAGGCCAGGCAGAGCTACACACTTCTGCCAGTGATTGCCCGACCCCCTGGCCAGAGCAGAGGGACCTACTGTTGGCACCTTGCACCGGGGAGGGGGGTTATGCCATGACAGGGGACAGTGGAGAGAGAGAGGCAGCGCTGGCACAGACCTATCTCCACCTGTTTTCCACCGACTCAGAAAACATTGACAAAATTGAGGGAGGTGTCCCCGCAGTGAGGCTGGGTCTCTGCCCTTACATTCCAGCACTGGCTCC